CAATAATTTAATTAACGATATTATAGTGATATTAATATAATTGTTTCAAATGTTCAATTTTTATTTGAGCATAAAAATGCATAAGTTTGGACCCTAATTTGATAATTAATAAGTTCAATATCGTATCTTCCTATTAAAGTAATTTTTAATATAAACTGTTTAATTTTATTTGAGTACATTGTTCGAATATATATCTTTCAAGCGAAAGGTAAATTATTTCAATGTAATCAATTATTTAATTAACAATATTATTGTGATATTAATATAATTGTTTTGAATGTTCAATTTTTATTTGAGTGCAGAAGAACTTATATTATACATATGTGATTTCAGAATTTTCATTGTTCAAATAAAGAAACTCTCTGAAAATTAGACCCCTAATCTGGTAATTAATAAGTTTAATATCATATCTTCCTATTAAAGTAATTTTTTTTATTTAAATGATATTAATTATTAATATAATATTTATAAAAGATGATATATTTTCCAAGTTTTTGTAAAATCAATTTTTAGTCATTCGCATTCATCATTTCATATAACTTACCTTTATATCTTCTAAAATATTCAAACAATCATTTAAAATGGGTAAAGAGAAGCGTTTACCTAAAGCTGAAAGTAGTAAAATGGCTAAGAAGAAAACTAAGAAGAGATCATGTAAACATAAAAAAAAAATGTAAGATTTATATAAGCTAATATAGTAATTTATTAATTATTAACTTAATATATAATATTTTTTTTAGTAACTGAGAAGTTTATCACCAAGGCAATTGCAAGAGCAATCGCTGCACTCAAAAGTAAAGAAAAAGGGCTTGAACTATCAAGCTCTAGCTCTAGTAGTGCTAGCACTACTAGTAGCAAAGATGATAGAGGGTGATCAGATAGTGAAAGCAGTGTAAGTCGTTCTGGCAGCAGTGTCGCTCTGCTAGCAGCAGCAGCAGCAGTCATAGTAGTAGCAGTGATAATCATAGAATACCAAGACAACTAACTCAGGAGCAAACAACCCACCTTCGTATAAATATATTTATTATCTAACTCTGTCATTTTTTAATAGATTATTATTATAATTATAATTATTATTATTATTATTATTATTATTATTATTATAGGATGAAATTAAAGTATTAATAGAGGGGTATAAATTGTCCTCTTTAAAACTGGATCCTCTGGTCAAATAGTCCGATCAGTTGAAGGCTATAAGATCAAAATTAATTCCAGCATTAATTAAATATTTGCTTGGGTATAAGCAACATTCTGATGCGATTGAGAGGATTTTAAAGCAGCAACATAAGATGCAGAAGTATACTGTGCAAATAAACACTAACTCTGAATTACAGCTACATAATTGCATCAGAATGGGGCAAAATAGTAAGATTAATGAGGTAAGAATAATATAATATAGACTTTATGTAAATTATTTTTAAATCATTCATCGAAAGTTATTAACTATTTATAAGTCACAAATAATATAATATTGA